ACAGCGACCGTGCTGCGCCCCTGCCCGGGGTGAGGGGGGCCTCAACCTGGGAGTGGGGCCAGGCCAGCCTTAACCCTATCCTGTCCCCAGCGTCACCTGAATTCCTTGTGTCCCCTCTGCGCGGTGGTCTTCGGGGAGAGCATGACAGGGCCCGGGGTCCTCCCCAGACATGCTTATGCTCCGGGGCGAGCTCCTTACCCGAGTCCGGGCGCGCTAGGATCCCCGGGGTTCTCCCCGACCTCCTTTCTCCAGCCTCCTCCTCTCGCAGGTGGATCGTCGGTGGGACCGGAGCGCGGGCGGGCGCGCGCCCCCCGGGACCATGGCCGGCTCCGACACCACGCCCTTCCTCAGCCAGGCGGATGACCCAGAGGACGGGCCGGTGCCTGGCACCCCGGGGTTGCCGGGGTCTATGGGGAGCGCCAAGTCCGGGGAGCCCGAGATCCCGGATCGCGAGGGGTTGCAGCGCATCACCGGCTTGTCCCCGGCGCGCTCGGCCCTCATAGTGGCCGTGCTGTGCTACATCAACCTCCTGAACTACATGGACCGCTTCACCGTGGCCGGTAGGTTCACTTCTGCCGGGGACGGAGCGGGGTGCCCAGGATGGGGCCGCCTTCCCGGCTCATCCCGAGCGCTCTCCTTCCAGGAGTCCTCCCAGACATCGAGCAGTTCTTCGACATCGGAGACAGTAGCTCTGGCCTCATCCAGACCGGTGAGTGGAGGCCACTCTTGGCCACACACAGCAGCAGTTATTTCTCTAGGGGCCTCATTGATAAGGGAGGTAATGACTTTGATTTTGCTCGGGACTGACCGGTTAAGCTAGGGCATCACATTTAAAGGGGGAGTCCATTTGGAGTAAATCTCTGCTCTTTTGCTTACTGTGTGGTGATAGGTAAGGTGCCCGCCGTCTCTAAGGCTCCTTCTCTTTGTCTATAAGATAGAACTAGTAAGAACAGATCGTCTCTTAGGACCAACTTGAGAATTAAATGAATTTATGCCTGAGAAGTGCCTGGTGCAGTGTCTGGAACGTGGTAGGCACCCTTTATAGATAATGGCAGGAGAAGGTGTCTGGAATGGGAAAAGGTGAATTTTCCTTGTTCAGATCTTTGGGGTGCAGGGAAGGTAAAGCCAGGGCCAAAGTCTTCTTTTCCTTCCTTCCCTCCTTCATTCCTCAAATGTTTCTGAGTACCTACTATGTGCCAACTGCTGGAGGAAGTGATGATACATCTCTAGGACTTTACCAAGACATCAGTCAGTATCTTCAAATCTTTCTACTGGGGGAGGAATTGGCTATTCCTGTTATTATCCCTGTTTTGCATAGGAAGTAGGTAATGTCACCGGCATCTTTTATAAGAAACTGAGGCTTGGAGATGAGTTTTGCCCAGGGTCAAGTTCCAGACAGAGTAGGGATTTTAATTCTCGCAGTGTTCTTTTTTCTACTCCAGACCAATGAGGAACTTAAGGTATGAAAGTCTGGAGAAACAAGCATGTGATCATAGGTCAGTGTTGTAAACCCCTGGAGAGTTACGTTAGATGGAACTGGCAATCTGTGCAGGGCGGAAGGCGGTTTTCAGTAAAACTTTCAATTAAAATGAGATCATTCTCCATAAGGATGAAGTATTATGTGAAATAAAATAAGTGTGGTAGGCAGGGACTGGCTATGTGGTGATTTGGAAAGGTATCTAGTCTGGAATCTAAAGGAGCCAAGCTCTGTGAACTCGGGGGAGAGGAGACTATGTTCCAGATAGAAGGGGCCCAAACCCTTAAGATGATATTGACCTTGGCAATTGGGCTATTGGATGCAGAGGGGAAGGGAAAGTGGGTGGCTGTGAGGTTGACCAGGTGGACGGGCTAGCTTGGGGCATCGTGGGCCACTGAGTTGAGCTTGGGTTTTGGTTTAGGCTGGGTAGGAGGGACTGGTGTGGCGCCAGGACCATCCATTCTAAGTGGGAGTTTGGGAAAGATATTGAAGATGGGGACAGTCCGGCACTGATGGGTTACAGGACTGGGACGTAGGGATGGTGGCTAGTCCGTGAGGAGGAGGGGGAGGCTCTCTCTTGCTTAGTGTTTCCTGCATCTTGTATCCCTGAGCTGGGGTGGGAGTTGGGGGGCCCGGGAGCTGGGGCTGGGCCGTGACTCTCTCCTTCCTCCCAGTGTTCATCTCCAGTTACATGGTGTTGGCACCTGTGTTTGGCTACCTGGGTGACAGGTACAATCGGAAGTATCTCATGTGCGGGGGCATTGCCTTCTGGTCCCTGGTGACACTGGGGTCATCCTTCATCCCCAGAGAGGTGAGGCCCCGAGCTGGTTCCTGCTTCTGGCCACTCCCCACACCCCCATCAGTTTGCCGCTGCTCCTTGGAGTCATTTCAGCCCGGGCGCAGTGGTCCCTGCCACCTTCTGCCCTCTCCTTGCCTGAGTTCATCTCCACCCGTCCGCGTCCCCTTTCTTTCAGAACCTTCTTCTGTTTGTCACCGCGTTCCCCTGGTCATTTGCTCCTCCCCTCCACACCTAAATGCTCCTGTTTCTCTGCCTTGGGAAAAACCCTTCCCCTTCCTGGTCCGATTTCCTGAGAGGGCCCTTGAGCTCAGGGCCAGCGTGGGCGAGGGGACAGCCAGGGAGCGGCTCTCACTCTTTGCCCAACTTCCTCAGTCCCCACTCACCCTCGAGTGCTGCCAGCTGACTTCTGCCCCCACCACTCCATTGAACTTGCTCTTGCCAAAGTCAACAGTGACCTCCCAGGTGCCAGATGGGGCTCCCACTTCCTAGATCTGCTCCTGTTTGATCTCCTGGGAGCCCCGGCACCCCCAGCCCTCTTTGTCCTTCTGGAAGCTCCCTTCTGACTTCTCGAGGCATGTTCTGATTTCCCTCGCACCTCCCTGGCTGTGGCTTCTGGGCTCCCCTGGAATCTCCTCCACCTGCTGTCACTCTGCCCTGGCCTCTGTCCTCAGCCCCAGGCCCCAGGTGTACTCTCCTTGGTTGATTGTACCATGTCCTTAGCTTCAGGTGTTGGCAGACACCTAAGGTCCTTATTCACCTTTGTCTTGGTGGGAGGGGCGTGGTAGCCACTAAGGTTTGTTTGGCACCTACTGTGTGCGAGGGAAGGAGTAGACCTTTACTGTGCAGGCCTCGCAGTAGCTGTGTGAACAAGTTATTGTTATTCCCCTTTTGCAGATGAGGAAACTGAGGCTCAGAGAGGTTAAGTTACTTTCTCAAAGTCCCAGCTAGTAAGTAGTGGACCAGGATTCCAGCCAGGTCTGTCTGATTCTAAAGCCCAGGTTTCTCCAGCACTGGCTGGGGAGGTGGCCTGGGAGGCTGACTCCAGGGTGGGCTGCCACCTCCCCTGTTCTTCCCCAGCGTTTCTGGCTGCTCCTCCTGACCCGGGGCCTGGTGGGGGTCGGGGAGGCCAGTTACTCCACCATCGCGCCCACTCTCATCGCCGACCTGTTCGTGGCCGACCAGCGGAGTCGCATGCTCAGCGTGTTCTACTTTGCCATCCCAGTGGGCAGGTGAGCTGGCCTTGGGCCTGGTGAGGGGCAGAGGGCCTAGGTGTGGGGCCCGGCTGACTGTCCCTTTTTCCCTCCTTTCCCCTAGTGGTCTGGGCTATATCGCAGGCTCCAAAGTGAAGGATGTGGCTGGGGACTGGCACTGGGCCCTGAGGGTGAGTTCGGTCATGTCCTGGAGGGAGGTCAGGGACATTCTCGCTGGGCCCCCTTTCTGCCCTTCAGACACCTCCTTCTGTGGCGGTGCTCACTCTCTGAGCCTGCAGGAAACCTGGTGCCCCCACCATGAAGCCATGTGCTTGTGGGTATCAGAGCCCATGTAAAACTGTAGGCCCCGGAAAGTGGCTGCATTTGCTTTTATAGTGGAAAGCCCCAGGGTGAGCATCAGGTAGAGCTGGATCTAGGGCTCCCACGCTGTCAAAGGAAGGAGATCATTCTCTGTTTAGCTTCCTGTCCTTGATGCTAGCTTCATCTTCGGGTGTGTGAAACTCTAAATGATCCTGTTTCACCTGAGCAACTTGGGCACGTTGGATCCTCGGGCAATAATCCTGGTGGTGATGATATGCGGTTCCCAGGCCTCCCATGAAATCAGCCACCAGCATTGGGGGTTAGCGGTGCTAATTTTGGCCTAGTCTGAGATGCTGTTTGAACCACGTAGATTGACAGCAGTGTGTGAGGGGGGTGCTTTCTCAAAAGAAAACTAGGGTTCTGTTATCAAAGGAAGCAAAGTTAGCCTTGCAGAAATAGGGTGGCCTCCAGTGATATCCCCCACCCACTTCTCAAATGGGGGCTTGACTTCCTTGAGCCGACACCCGAGGGGTCTCCGATGTCACTCTCCCCCAGCCTAGAGATTGAGTGTGTCCTGCCCTGTGCCCTTTCCTGAATCCCGCTGTTTCCCCAGGTGACACCGGGTCTAGGAGTGGTGGCTGTCCTGCTGCTGTTCCTGGTCGTACGGGAGCCGCCACGGGGCGCCGTGGAACGTCACTCAGATTCGCCACCCCTGAACCCCACCTCGTGGTGGGCAGATCTGAGGGCTCTGGCAAGAAAGTGAGTTCCACCCCTTCCCAGTCCAGCATCTGAGGCCCTGGCATCTATGGAGGCTGAAGCGGGCCGGGACTTGGTTGTCTGCCAGCTGCCCGGGAGTGACTAGGGCAGTCCCGTGGCTACTGCCCCCTTGTGCCAGCGTCCTGAACCGCAGTCTAGCCTCGACTCCCAGGGTCCCGACTTCAAAACTTAAGCCAGGAGGGAGAAGGGTGTCCTTCCTGCCTGGACGGCTGCAGGACCTGACCCCTCCCTCCCCCCGTCTGCAGTCCCAGTTTCACCCTGTCCTCCCTGGGCTTCACTGCCGTGGCCTTTGTCACGGGCTCCCTGGCGCTCTGGGCGCCCGCGTTCCTGCTGCGTTCCCGTGTGGTCCTGGGGGAGACTCCCCCCTGCCTCCCTGGAGACTCCTGCTCTTCCTCTGACAGGTACCCAGATGGGGTGGGCAGGGGGCCTGTAGGTGGCAGGGGTGGGGAGCCTGGGATTCGGGATCGGGCAGGAGGCTGAAGCCCGGCTCTGTGCCAGAGTCTCAGTCTCTGGGTCCGGGACACGTGGCGGGATAGCATCTCCTCTCGGGGGTCCGTGGACCGTGGGTGCTTTTCCTGAATAGACCTGGGTGCGAGGGTGGCTGGGATGAACCATCTCCCCCCCAGGCCAGGGGGACCCGGCGGGGCCCTTGCAGGCTGAGGGTCTAGTCCCCACGCCCCACCCCCACCCCCTAGTCTCATCTTCGGGCTCATCACCTGCTTGACCGGGGTCCTGGGTGTGGGCCTGGGCGTGGAGATCAGCCGCCGCCTCCGCCGCTCCAATCCTCGGGCCGACCCGCTGGTCTGCGCCGCTGGCCTCCTGGGCTCTGCACCCTTCCTCTTCCTGTCCCTCGCCTGCGCCCGTGGTAGCATCGTGGCCACCTACGTAAGTAGCTAGCAGGGGTCAAGGGGACGTTCTGGGTTCAGGGTGGAGGGACTGGGGTCAGCCAGCAGAGTGGTTCAGAGCCTACTCAAAGCGGAATGCCTGGTTTCGAAGCCCATCTCTGGTCTTTCCCATCTGTGTGACATTGAGCAAGTAGCTTAACCTCTCTGTGCTCAGTTTTTTAAATCTGTAACATGGGACCTGCCTCACAGAGGTGTGGTGAGAAGGGGTTAGTGGAAGAGCCTCGTATGTAGTAGACCCTTCTTATAGTGAGACCCCCACCCCTCCCACCCCTCAGATTTTCATCTTTATTGGAGAGACCCTGCTGTCCATGAACTGGGCCATTGTGGCTGACATTCTGCTGGTGAGTAGCTGGCAGCTCCAGGGTGAGCCCAGAGGCTGATGGGAGCAGGGATTGGCATCAGGGGACATCGCTGGCTCTGAATCGTGGCCTTTCCTCCTTTAAAACCCAACCCCCCATTAACTTCTGGATGCAGCCCCGGGGTGCCTGTAGTCCTGGCCTGGTCTTGACCTTGGGCCTAGACTGAGCCTTGGCCCTGGCCTGGCCCCTGCCTCTTGCCCCGAGCCCCCCTGAGTCCCACTCCTCCCCCAGTACGTGGTGATTCCCACTCGCCGCTCCACTGCCGAGGCATTCCAGATTGTGCTGTCCCACCTGCTGGGCGACGCGGGGAGCCCCTACCTCATTGGCCTGGTGAGCCCCTGGGCTGGAACGGGTGGGGGACGGGCCCTCACTTGCAGCACTAGCTGGTGGCCTGGGGGGGGGGCACTCGTCCCTGTTAGGCACCTCTGCCTGGTGTCTCCTACCTCCCCTCCAATGCTGGAAGCTCTGGGCTCGCCCGGGGTCCAACCTCCTTCCCTTCCTCGGGCTCCATGTTCCTTTTCCCTGATGTCCAGGGGTCCCCGTCCCCGGCTCCTGCCTGGCTCCCTCCGACTCCCTCTCCTCCTTGCAGATCTCTGACCGCCTCCGTCGGAGCTGGCCGCCCTCCTTCCTGTCCGAGTTCCGGGCCCTGCAGCTGTCCCTCATGCTCTGTGCCTTTGTGGGGGCGCTGGGTGGCGCGGCTTTCCTGGGCACCGCCATCTTCATCGAGGGTGACCGCCGGCGGGCCCAGCTGCATGCGCAGGGTCAGTGCGGCCTGCTGTGGCCACCGTCACAGTACTGTGTGTCTGTCTGTCCAGGCCTGTGTGCCCAGAACCTCCCGGTCCTCCACTCTCCCTCCTTCAGGTCTGGGTCTGTCTGTCCCGCACGCTGATCCCTGTCTGTGTCTGGGGGTTCCTGCTGCTGCTCCTTCCGTGTCCCATGCCCGTCTGTCCCCCCACTGGCTCTGCCTGTCCATCCAGCCCTGGCTCTGACCCCTCCCCACAGGGCTCCTGCCCGAGGCGGGGTCCACGGACGACCGCATTGTGGTTCCCCAGCGAGGCCGCTCCACCCGGGTCCCGGTGTCCAGCGTGCTCATCTGAAGCTGCGTCACTTTGTCACTCGTCTGTCTGCAGATCTGCTGCAGCTGGCCCTGGGCCACCCCGCCGGGTTCCCTGGTCCCAGACCCTTGACCTGGCCCATTTCAGGAGGAGACCCCGGGCTGTGTCCCGCTCCCTGACACTACATGGGCATCGCAGAGGAGGATGGGGTCTGGGAGGGGACATCCCCTCTGCCTGGTGGCCCCGGGGCTTGGTGCTATTTGTAATGGGAATAAAATTTGTAGCCAGACCGCACGTGCCTGCCGGATCTCTCTCTGGGTGTAGTGGCCTCCGACCTCTGGCTGTGGGGGTGCCCTATCTCCAGCCTCAGGGCTCCTGGGAACTGTGCGGTCACTCCTGTGGGGAGTCCCTGTCTTTTGGGCTGGGTGACCCCGAGGGAGGACTGCTCTGAGCTGGTTCAGTGTGACTGTGAGTCAGGCCTGTGCTGCTCGGGAGCCCCCTCCTCCCGGCAGGCAGGCCTGGGGCGGTGGGGTGGACGCTGCCCTCTGCCCCTAGTCTCCCTGCTCTCAGAGCCTCCCTGGGGCTGCCTCCCCCTCAAATGGGAGGCCGCAGAGGGCCCTGGGGCTGGCCAGTGCGCCCCTTCCCACCAGAGCCTCGCCCCTACCTGCGGCCAGCAGCCCCTCCTGAGAGCCCCGTGGCTCAGGCCTCTTCCCCCTTCCCACAGCTGGGTGGGGGTGGGGGGGCGGGTGCAGCTGGCTGAGGAGCCTGATGACTTCCTGCCTTCACCCGGGGCTCACCACAGCTTCCTGCTGCGGGTGGCGGGCCAGCGGGTGTGGAGGAGAGGCAGGCGCCGAGCCGAGGGGCAGGGACGCCTGGGGCACAGGGACCACACAGGGCGACTGGTGCCCCAGACCCCAGCCCGGGCCCTGGTCCACCCAGGACCAGGGTCTCAGAGCCGGCACCCAGCCCCACTCAGTCCAGCAAGGGGAGGTGGTCCCGGAGCCCCCGGGAGGACACAGCTGCTCACCAGGACCCCCCGTGGGGGGCCCTCTTGGTCCCTACACACCGCTGCAGCTGAGCCGAGAGGGGCCTGTGGGGCAGCCGGCCCGGCGCAGGCGCCCTCCTGCAGATGGAGGTGGCCGGCCTGACCCCCTACCCGCTGGGCCTCCTGCTGCTGCCCCTCCTGGCCATGCTGCTGATAGCCCTGTGCGTGCGCTGCCACGAGCCGCCCGGTGAGTGGGGAGCTGGCGGGGACCCCAAGGGAGGCCCTGACCCAGGCCCCAGGCCCCAGCCCTCTTCACCGTCCCCACCTCAGCTGTTCCCCGGGACGCAGGGCCCCCGGGCCCCGGCACCTGTCCCTCTGCACCCCTGCCCCATCTCACCTGGCCTGTCTCCCCAGACTCCTACGACAGCGCTCCCGCAGACAGGTGAGTCGTGCGCCCGCCTTCCCCCTGCCCTGGGGCTGGGGCCGGCCTCTTGGCCACTCACCGGCTGTGTCTCTCCTCCCAGTTCAAACCCCACGAGCATCCTGATCAAACCTCCCTGTGAGTACAGAGGGTCCCCACCTTCTAGTGCCCGGGAGGGGGTCCCCTGGCCCGCGAGCCCACCTGGGGCTGCCCACATGGTTTTGTCCTGAGCTGTGATGGGAGGGGAGGGGACGGCCCCCAGGCGCAGGGGCTTCAGGAGCTGATTCAAGGCCTGGGGCCTGATGTCTGGAGTCCTTCCTTCCAACTCGGTTCCGTCCTCAGACACGCCAGTTCCCTGGCCACCTGCCGCCCACTACCCACCTGTTATCTCCTACCCACCTCCAAGCCAGCCAGACCTGCTCCCCATCCCGTGAGTACCCCTCGACGGCTCTCCCCTCTCCAGATCCCACCTCCTGCCCCCTCCCTTTCTCGCACTGGGGCCTCTTTTCCTGTTGCAAACCATCTTGCCTCCCGAGCCTCTCCCAGGCATGACCCCTGACCTTTGACTCCCAGGAGATCCCCGCAGCCCCCTGTGGGTTCCCACCGGATGCCACCCTCCCAACAGGATTCAGATGGTGGTAAGGGCAGAGAGGGGCTGAGGGGCGGGGGGCTCTGCAGCTGGGCAGAAGGCGGACCCAGCCTGAGCTGACCCCGTCTCCATCTTGTTCTCTCTGAAGCTAACAGTATGGCGAGCTACGAGAACCAGGGTGCGTCTGGGATCTCGCGTCCCCGGGCTAGGTGGGGCAGCTGGCATCTGTCCCAGGTCATGCTGACCCCTGTGTCATTGTCCCCAGAGCCAGCCTGTGAGGACGCAGATGAAGATGATGAGGAGGACGACTATCACAACTCGGGCTACCTGTGAGTGGCCAGGCGGGAGGTGGGGGCCGAGTGAGGCCAGGCGTCCTCGCTCACCTGCCTCGCTCTCTCCTTGCAGGGTGGTGCTTCCTGACAGCACCCCAGCCACTGGCACTGCTGTCCCCTCAGCTCCTGTGCCCAGTGACCCTGGCCTCCGTGACAGCACCTTCTCCAGTGAGTTCAGTATTTCTGTGTACCTCCTTTGCCCCGTGTGCCACCTGGCCTTCTTCTCTTCCCTCTCCCATTTCTTTAATGATGGCTCCCCTTCTGTTCTCTCATTCATATGTTGGACTTCCTGTTCCGATTTGACTTTCTTTTTTTTTTTTTTTTTTACCTTTTATCTCCCCTTTGTCTTTTTCCTATGCAATCATTGTCTGAGAGATTTCCTGACTCTCTTCTTCAATCCTTCTACTGCAACTTCCTTTCTCCCATCCGAAGGTCTTTCCTGGACTCTGAGTGTTCTTTTTGTATAGCTTCCTGTTCTTGTTTCTTTTTCTTTTTTCTTGTACTGGGGATTGAATCCGGGGCCTCACCCATATTAGCAAGTACTAATAGAGGCCATAGCATCTTGCAAATCTCTAAGAATATTAACTAGAGGTGGTCTTTTTTTTTCTTTTTCTGGAGATTTTCTTCTGTTTCCTGCATCGTCTCGGTTTCTTTTGAGCCACCTTTCTCCTTTCCTGGTCTCATTGCAGGGCTTTCTGTTCCTATCCCCTCTCTGGACTAGTTGAGTATCCCTCATCAGAAACACTTGGGACCAGAATGTTTTGGGTTTGGGAATATTTGCATATACCTAAGGTGGTATCTTGGGGATGGGACCCAAGTCTAAGCATGAAATTCCTTTATGTTTTAACGTATACCTTGTTTCCATAGCCTGAAGGTAATTTGATACAATATTTAAAATAACTGTACAAAAAACTAAGTTTCATGGTGTGCAATTTTCCACTTGTGGTATTATGTTGGCACCCAAAAGATTTTGGATTTTGGAGCTTTTTTAGATATTGGGTTTTGGATTAGGGATGCTCAGTCTATATGTACTTGAACTGGGCTGTCGCTGCCATGCCTGGCTCCACTTGCCGTTCAGATTTCCAATGTGCCACCTCTCTTCTGGGCTGCAGACCGTCTGTCCGAATGCTCTCATTTATTCACTCACTCACTCCTTCGTTCATTCACTTATCGGGCATGTGTGCTGGGCTCACATCAGGATGGACGAGTTAATGAGGCAGGCTGGGACGATAGAAGGACTATCACTTACTGAAGGCCTACTATGTGTCCTACGAAGGGTCGTATGTGTATAATGGCCAGGTGCTCTAGTGTCCGTCCCTTCCCCTCCAGCCCCTCAGTACCAGGGCAGGGTTTATTTATTTGTTTTTACTTATTTTGAGAAAACCTCCCTATGGTGTCCAGGCTGGCCTTGAATCCCTGGGTTCAAGCCATCCTCTTGCCTCGGCCTCCTGGGTAGCTGGACTCGGGGTGAACTGATTAGCAGCCATTAGGCAGGGCTTCCCGCATGACAGGCCCCGTCCTATTACCTCTGCTTCAATCCCTACAACTCTGCGAGGCAAATCCCTTCCTGATCCTGTTTCACAGTTGAGGAGACAGGCACAGAGAGGTGACATAACTTATCTGAGGTCACACAACAGTTCCTTAGTGCCGGATCAAGGTTTGAACCTGGGCGGGCTGTCTGCAAGGTCACCTTGTCCACGTCCTCATGGAGAAACATGAGAGAACCAGACAGCATGGGGGATGAGGGACAGTGCTTCAGAACATTCCCTGCGTCCCTGTGCAGCTGACTGGCGGTGGGGTGTCCTGGGAGCCTCAGGGTGTCCCTGAGGCCCTGGACATCTGAACTGGGGGGCTCCAGGAATCTGTGACTGAAGGTGTCTAATGGCAGTGGTGGGGGCGGGTGGCCCGTGGCTTCCCACAGTGGAAGATTACGTGAACGTTCCTGAGAGCGGCGAGAGCGCAGAGGCGTCTCTGGGTGAGTGACCAGGGCTCTAGTGGCCCACCCCGTCCCCCTCCATCCGTGGAGCCCACCCATGGCCGCCCACTGCCCCCTGTCTGTCTGGGGCTCCTTCTGCCCTGCCCCCACTCCCTCAGTGTGACCTGGCCCCCCCTGGCCTGACCATCCCTCCTTCTGTCCCCACAGATGGGAGCCGGGAGTACGTGAATGTGTCCCAGGAGCTGGAGTCGGAGGCTCCAGCCAAGCCTGGTGTGTATGGGGGTGGGGCGGGGGCAGGGGTGGCTTTCAGGCTGGACACCAACCTCCCGTCCGTCCCCTCCCAGCTCCCCTGAGCTCCCAGGAAGAGGGGGATGAAGAGGAAGAGGGGCTTCCGGACTATGAGAACCTGCAGGAGCTTCACTGACGGCCTGGTGAGTGGCCCTCGTCTTCAGCACTGTCCTGGGCCGGTGACCCTCCCTCCGGGACCCTCTTGACCACCCAGCACCTCAGGCCTGTCCTTTCTGCTGTTGACCCTGCTGATGGCCCCGACCCCTGACCCACGGCCCCTCCGCCTCCCCCGCCCTGTGTGTTTCAGCCGGGGTCACGTCCGTCCTGGATCCAGCCCTGCGGGGCCGGCTGAGCTGGGCAGCTAGAAGTGGCTCTGGGGGCTCCACTTGGTACCCTGCCCTGACTCCAGCTGGACAACAGCCTGAGAATCCCCCCTAACTTATTGTCACTTTGAGGGCCAGCCTGTGTCCCCCCCAATACCCTGCACCTTCTGACGTAGCCTGAGAATGAACCCCCCTGGTCCAGCCCCACCCTCTGTAACCGAATAAAGGCCGCGTGGTCTGTGGCGCCCTTGACTTTGAGGCCCCAGGGGCTGGAGGCTGATGAGGTTGGGGTGCGCCAGGTCCTGCCTGTGTCTGCGCTGAGAACGTGGGAGGGCACACGTGCGTGTGCCTGCGTGTCGGGGAGCCGTGGAGACCTGTGTGTGCGTGCGGTGGTCTCCGTCACCCACGGGGTGGAGCGCCTGGCCTGGTCCTGGGAGTGACAGCAGACACTGCCCGGCACATGGCTGCCTTTGGAGTGAGGCAGACACCCAGGACCCAGGTCGCATCCCCCACGAGGTGGTCCATGCAAGTGCAGCGCTGTTGGCAGAGCCGCTGATGGTGGGGTCCCCTGGGGGGCGGTGTGGATGTCAACCGTGAGACCCTCCCCCAGGCACTCAGCCTCTGTCCTTGTGACCAGGGACTGGCCCTGATGACCTCCAGTGCTCTCCTGTGTGGTTCTCAGTAGATCAGAAACGGTGGCCGCGAGTCGGGGGGCGTGGTGTGGGCGCCGGAGTCGGCTGCTCTGGAGGGAGCCTGGCTGGGAGGGAGGCAGGGCCCCGACTGCCACCACAGCGAGACCTGGTCTCAAAAAAAAAAGTTCTAGGTGGCTGACAAAGCTGGTGGGGGGCGGCCCGTTTCAGGTGGCTCCCGCAGGTCTGGCTCAGTGCCACCCCGACTTGGTGGCCTGAGCGGGGCCCGGGACTCTGCATCTCGCTGCAGCACCCAGGGGAGCTCCCTGCACTGCATCTTGGACAGCAGGCTGTGACTCTGGTGCCCACCTGAGCGGCGTCCCCTGCCCCTTATTTTGGGAACATCCCCTTGGGCTCCCCTGGGCTCCCCTCCTTTCCTAGCCTCATTCCGGGTGGATCTGGAGCTGGTTGAGCCAGCCTGCACCCCGGGAGGGGACCCCAGACATCCCCCTTGCCTCTGGCCACTGTGAGGGCTCAGGCAGAGGCCCGGGAGCAGCCCCGTGGGGAGGCACAGCCCTGGGGACGGGCTGGGAGGAGAAGCCTGTCCTTCGCAGCGCTCCTTCAACTGGAGGTCAGAGTCCTGGTAGGACAGAGCCACTGGGAAGGAAAGAGTGTCCCAGAGACGGCCGGCGCGGCTTCCTGATCTAACCACACAGGGGCAGGACGACCCGCTCAGGTTTCCTGGTCACCTGGGCCAATAAATTACCCTTTGTCTTCAATCCGCTGACTTGGAGTCTCTGTCACTACAATCAAAGTTGTCCTGAGCCATGCAAAGTTGCCAGTTCTCTGTGGACTCTGGAGGTAATAAGAACTTCTCCCCGTGGGGCACCTTCTCAATCATCGTGACTTCCCTGTTGTCAGTTATGGTTAGTGCCCCCACTTCACAGGTGGGAAAGCAGGTTCAGAGAGGTGAGGTGATTTGCCCAAAGGCACACAGCCAAAGAGGTAGATCTGAGATTAGGTCTGTGGCCTCCAGAGTCACAACTGCCTGCTGCCCTGGTTCTGGTTATTGTGCAAAATGCCAGCTGCCTGGGACATGGCAGAGCTCATGCCACCAAGCTCATGAGACCGAGCTGGAGACGTGGGGGCAGGAGACGGGGTTCAGTCAGACAGGAAGAGGGAGTTAAATCCTTTTATTGGGAGGAACCAGAAATGGGCAGAGGCATCTGTGTGTCTGGGCAGAACAGTTTACCAACCAGGGATGCTGGGCAACCAGCCTGGAGGACAATCGAGCAACGCCTGGGAATCTGGAGGTGTGCATGTCCCCTTCGCAGCAGACTCGGGTGGAGACCCTGGCTGACTGGCACCTGGGCTGAGGCGGCGGGGCCAGCAGGCACAGGGCCACCCTGCAGATCACAGGCCTGTGCCCCGGCTTCCAGCCACAGCTGGAAAGCAGCCGACACCCGTGGCCAGACGACAGTCTGATAAGCTGGGTGAAGTCACACGGCAAAGACTCACCAGCTGATAAAATGAGCCAGGCCTGTCAACGCAGATGGACATCACCAGCAGAATGTGGGGTGAGGCGGCCAAGCCAGCCACACACGTCCAGTTAAGAATGGGAAAATGACACTGGTAGACTAGCCCTGATCCAAAATGCTTGGGACCGAAAGTATTTCAGACTCTGCAATATCTGCACATATATAGGTATCTTGGAAATGAGACCCGAGCCTAAAACGAAATTCAGTTATGTTTCGTGTACACCTTATACACCTAGCCTGGGGACAGGGTCTTGCCAAATTGCTGAGGCTGGCCTCTAACTTGAGATCCTCCTGCCTCGGCCTCCCAAGTAACTGGGATTACAGGTGGGCACCACCATGCCCGGCTTATGCAATATTTTTAGTGTACTTACGTTTTGACAGCAATCTGTCACGTGAGGTCAGGTGTAGAGTTCTGCACTTGCGGCCTCACGTTGGTGGTCAAAATGTTTTGGATTTCAGGTTTCAGGTTTTTGAACGAGTGATGCTCAACCTGTACCTGGTTTGGGGGTCACACATTCATAAAGGTCTCCCGATGGGGTAGATAACTAAGATCAAGGCCCAGGATGGACCGGGTCAGGGTAGGGGGATGTGGCCCAGGTGGCTCTAGAAGACAGTGGACAGCAGGCCAAGCCTCCCTGGTGGTTTATGCCAAGCGAACAAGCTGGCTGTGGGGCCACGCGGTGTAGTGGAGGCACTAAGAGAAATTCCATGTGGTGAGGCTGGAGAAGACTCTAAGAGTCGAGTGGACGGGGGTGGGGCCGAGACCTGTGGAGACTCGATCCTGAGAGACCCAGGGTGGCCCCTGGAGGCTTTGTTGCTGAGGAGGACATGATCAGGTCTGTGTTTAGCAGAGATCTTTGGCTTGGTTGATGGGCAGAATCGATGGTGAGGCCAGTTAAGCAAGAAGCAGGGAGGCCATGAGGAGGCTGTTGGAGTCATCCCCGTGAGCAGTGGTGGCGGGCTGGCCACAGACGTGCAGCAGAGAGAAGTGGTAGAATAAGAAGGTGTTGAGAGGCACAATCCAGGGACCAGAAGAATGGGTTGGCTATGGGCTGGGGGACACGGGGAGAGCCAGGGCCACTGTGGGTTGCCTTGGGGACTGGGGGGTGTGGGTATTCCCTGAAGCACTGAGCAGGTTCCATTTGTGTTTCTTGGAGTGAGCAAGGGGAGGTGGCTTTGCTTCCGCAGCTGGTGACCCGGGTGGGAAAGAGCAGACCATGCAGTTGAGGTCTCCTGGGCTGGGGCCGGGATTTCTTAGCCCATTGGAGTGGTCAGTGGGGAGGCCCCTACAGGAGCTGGGAGCAGAAACAGGTTTTTCTTGAATTCTAGCATTGGAGAAAAGGTAGATTTAGTAAGAGAGAGAATTTTCTGGAATTTCTAGAGAAGAAATCTGGATCCTCGTGATCCTCCTGCCTCAGCCTCCCAAGGGCTGGGATTACAGGCCTGTGCCACCGCCCCAGACGGCTTACTTTTTACCAGGGACTGAACTCGGGGCACAAGGCCACCGAGCCACATCCCAGCCCTATTTTGTATTTTATTTAGAGACAGGGTCTCACTGAGTTGCTCAGGGCCTCGCTTTTGCTGAGGCTGGTTTTGAACTCACGATCCTCCTGCCTCAGCCTCCCCAGCTGCTGGGATGACAGGCGGCACCGCTGGCCCCTGCCCGGACCTCTTAACCTTTGACTTACATAATTGGTTTGGTTAGTGGCAGAGATAACAAGCACTAATTCCAAGCCTAGAGCTGTACTTGATAACAAGAGCTTTGAAATGTAAGTCAGGAGACTGAACTTTTTGCCTTGACTCTGCCACTTGACCTTTGGGGGACTTTGAGGATATTGGATTTAAGTCTGTTCTGTGTCTCGGTGGGGGCAGGGGGCGTTGGGGCGGGAACCCAGGGCCTCGTGCCTGCCAGGCAAGCGCTCTCTCCCTGAGCCTCATCCCCTGTCCTGGACTGAAGTTTCAGACCTTTCCATTCTGAGGTGCCCTAGCCCCAGGAGCAGCTGCGGTCAGAGGGCGAACTGGCACTCCCATGGTCGGGCGGCTCAGATCTCTGCTCTCCTTTCTCTACGGAGTCCATTTCCGGTCTCTTCACGTGTGTCCAGGGTCCCCATCCCTCCAGGTTTCCATGCGGTGGGAGGGGCGAGATATTCAAGTTCCCGGCAGAGCCCTAAACTTATTCTGATTGGATGAGCTTGGGGCACTTGACTCTCCTGAACCAATCACCGGCCAGGGGAACACGACACGAGGTGGGCTTGGGCCCGCCCATGACCTAGAATCCATTCCCAACGTCACTGGACACAGGGATGCTGCTCAGAGAAAAATTCAGCACTAGGCTGGTAGAAGGAGGGATGTCTGTATGAGATGCATTTATTGCACGCTTACTGTATGCCATGCTCATTATTATATGGAGTCTCAGGATACCCGAGTGGGAGGTGGGAGGAGTCCATTCTATAGACAAGAGAAAGAGCTTAGAGAGGTTGAGTGATTTACTTAAGGTCTCACAACAAATTCCGAAGCCAACGCCGAGGGGGAGAGGGGGAGGTTGTGCATTGGCCAGAAGTTGGTGGAATAGGAGAAAACGAAGGTAAGCCAAGGAG